CGGAGCCGATACCGGGCTAGGATCGGGAGCAGCAACAAAGCAATAATACACTACCGGATCATATACAGTAGGAGGAAGGAACATTAAAACAGATCTGTAGAAAATTTCCGACCCACGCCGCTTCCTTGAGACAGGAAGTGAACATGAAACCCACTCATGGAACCCGGAAGTTAACCAACCCACTCCACATTTCGCGGCAAAAGGCAAGTTGCCGCCCTGTCACCGTTGGAAAGTGGATGTATCACTTATGGTCGGGACTACACATGTTTCGAGTATCCTACGTAGTACAATATTAATATTATCATTATTATCATTGTTATTACCATTGTTGTGACTGTTATTGCTATCATATTATAGACGATATCCGTTGGTACCCTCCGCCCAAAGCCAAGCAGTCCCATGTCCTAGTCCGGACACAATGGGAAGGGAGGGGTCCACTCGCTTGGTTGACTCGATGAGATCTCAATCTTAGAGGGCCTGGATAGAGAGGACTGGTCACATCAAGTTGCAGGCTTGCAGGCTTGCTTCCTGCTTGCCTACTCGTTCCATACGTGTTACACGCCGGTTTTGTCCTGATAAGGTCGATCAGTTGAGAACTTTGGGCCTGAAGTGCCGAAAGTAGACCAAGTGGTTGCTAAGGTAGGAACTTGAAGACCCCAGATCCCAGCTAGCGGCTGGTGAGTCAATATTCCTGAAATGATAGTGGTGTCAATTGATTCAAGTGGCTCACGAGGTACAGTATCATACTACACTGTACGGAGTATGTACTCAAGTAATATGATCATTACCTGGGCCGATACTTTCCAATTAAGGCCTGGGGGTTGGGGCTCGTTCGCCGTTGGCAAATCCATCGCGACGGTCTGGTACCACCGGCCAGCCCATCAGACTTAGTCATTGGGTGGGAGGGAACACGGCACCGTTTGGTTCTCGGAAATTTGCATTTTGTCAATTGAGGAACCGAGCGAGGCGGCAACTTAGAAAGCAAGAAACAAGGAATCACACTCTGATGGATAACAGCCTCAAAGCCTGAGTTCGGAGAATTATCTGAACCTATCTTATGAGGAGGTAGGGTTTATCGCCAGTGCTTTGTTTGATTAGGTTGAAAGTTGACAGAACCCTATTTTTGTCAGTACAGTGCTCCACTGCTAGTTACATCTACTCATACTTACACACCTACTAGGAGCCAGTGGGAGGTAATTACTTGCTCCAGTACTCTGTGAGTTGACTATGTACTCCGTAGAGTAAATATATAATCAGACCTTCCGCCTGCCCTTTTACCCACAGCAGAGACTGTTGACTCCGTTTCGGCCGAGGCTCTGGGAGACTAGTCGACTTGACGCCGTCGTTGTTACGCATCCTCCCCATTATTGCCCATATTCGCCCTTTGGTTGGAATGGAGCTCCTCAGACCATTTCCACCTCCCGGTTTAGGATGATGGCGTTCTCCACAAGGAGGAACCATGTTCTCTGGCTGTCTTGTTATTACTGTTATTGTTTATCTTGTTATTTCGAATTTGGGATAACTCTCAGGTTAGCTCGCAGTCCTTCTTCGCCCTATTTTACTTTATTTAGTTTTTATTTCATCTTATTTCATCTTACTTCTTTTTTCTTTCCAAGGAGAAGGGGGGTGGGGGTATTTCCTTTCTCCTCTAATTTTCCTGAATCACCCATCCCCTTCTGTTTTGCCTTCCCTGGTCTATGCAACACTCTATGTGTGGTCATGTAAAGAACTTTTACTCCAAGTCTCATAACAGGATTTCCCGTTGTCCACCACTAAGCCTTTGTGGCTTGGACTGTTCGTCACTCATATTGCCTTCGATGTTACCACTCTGCCTTTTCTGGTTCATCCCTATCATTGCCATACATGTTCAGTGACGCGACACCAGTCTATCGCAGCTTAAGGAAGTAGAGATCGGTGGATATCCCGCATGTCCCGCCCGCGGCCTTGCCTTCTTCTTTCCGAAGTTCGCAACGGATGATAGTGGGTACAAACTCCAGCGAAGGGCCCTGAGATGTTGTGCTTACCTTATGGGCTACAGTCGTAGTTCGAATGGGTTTTGTTTCACCGCCTTGACACTCACCTCACCAACAAACCAAGTCACTATAATACCCAGACCGAGGCTAGGCTCGAATGCTCCCGGCGAGGTTTGACCGCCAGGAAAGTGTTCCATTCCAGTATAGTTTAGTATTTGCGGGTGGAACCGTTGTTCTTATGGTCGTTCCCTTTTCTTTTTGTATTGAATTGAATCAATTTCTTAGGTCCTCTATTTCTCTCTCTCTCTCTCTCTCTCTCTCTCTCTCTCACTCGTCCCGGTTTTTCGTAGTTTACGGCCATTACCTTGTTCCTGTTCAATCCTTGGGAGATAATTGAACCCAAGAAGGTGCTCTCTCGACAACAGTGTGTGAATACACTTTTAGAGGTGATGAATGAGAAAACCCTAGGAACATTAGGTAGGTACGTACTTCAACGACAAGGCATGGCACTGTACCCGGCTGAAGTCCGGCTCACTAACTAAATCGTACTCTGTAGTCCAGATGAGATCGCAATGAGATCGCAATGAAGTCAGTCAGTCAAATTGACCCTTTCTGCTATTGACCAGTGTAGTCCACAAGGCTGGTATTAATTCGAACCTGGATAGTATACTGAGTAGATAGTTATTCTGTACTGAAAGCTAGTGAAGTGACTTGCTGGGAAATTGAAAAATAACCATCTACCGAATACGAGTAAATCAAAGTACTGTGTAGGATACCTAATTAATCTCAACGGTCAATCCATGCCTACCTAATCATATTAATGTGCTTCATTTATTAAACGGCTTCCCGAAAAAAACAATCCCCCCCTCCCCCCCACCACAGGGCCCTGGCCTCGCCTCTTCAATTTTAGCCTCTGTCTCTTGTTCCCCATACCTATTGCCTGCTACCTTAGTATTAGCTACCACCAGCACCTTGCTACGTACTCTATTACTGTTGAGCTTTTCATTTGCTGTCTCTTCCATCAGCTGTCAATGCCGATGATCTCGTTTTTTATGCATGTCCAGGCGTTTCCACTGTCGTGTCTGGCCTTTTTCCCTTTCCTCTTGTCTGTCACTCCTGATCCTCACGATTGATTTCAATGACTTTCATCTCCTGCCTCTGTCGTTTCTTCTTTCTTGCCGCTTGTATACCTTGTGCCTAGCCAGTACTTTCCCACTACCACATTTGTTGGTCTACCAGTCAACCTGGCACAACTTCAGAAGCTTCCCAAACGCCATATTTGACATATCAAGTCACCATCTGCTATCCCCGTCCCAGAAACCATTTTTCCATCCTGCTCTTGTTGTTTTGCAGCTTCTCTTCCTTTACGGCTCACTCGTGGACTGGTTCCTACTCTTCAGCTTTCTATATTCCGACAAGCACCCGGGGTGCCACGAGTTTTTGCTCCTTGCTCTAGACATCCCTGGCTTCTGTGAACCGTCGCTATCTTTGGGAGACAGAGATAAACACAGACATATCCGTGGATTGGGCTTATTCATCCTGGTCAAGGTCATTTTTCTACATTCGCTGAAATTCCACATCGCGTACGGTAACCTGTGGGAGTGCCTTGCACAAACAGCTCCCATTGCTTTGTCTCCTCTTCCGGCCTTGACTGCTCCTCTAAGCCATACTAGCAGCAAGTTCTTTACCCAAGAGCAGCAATCCGTCGTTGTTAATCGCGCATATGATTGCGTTACAAAACCAGGCCATCTTACCCTCCGCCAAAGTGGATATCTCACTGTTACTGAAACCCCAAGATGAAGAAGAGACTGCCTCGGTGACTAGCGCGCCCGCCTATGCGACGAATTCGATATCTCAAGCTTCATTGGTCCCGTCTCTGCCTCTGGCGACACCGTCTACTATTCATTCAGCAACGGCGGTCCCGCCGCTCACCAAGGTTTCCTCCTCAGTTCCTGTCAAGCGTCTTCAACCAGCACATACGGCGGAGTCCCCTGCCAAGAAGCAGTCAAAATGGTCTTCCGAGGAAGATGCTCTTATCATCGAGTTGCGAGGCAGTGGTATGAAATGGGAAGATATCAGCAAGCGCCTTCCGGGGCGAAGTGCCATTAGTTGCCGTCTTCACTATCAGAATTATCTGGAACGCAGAAGTGAATGGGACGAGGATAAGAAAAACAAGCTTGCGCGACTATATGAAAGGTATGCTATTGTTGCCTGGAGCCATCCGCCGGTTTCATTAACGTCACTTGGTATGGTGGGTTCTGGTTAACTGACTCAATCACAGGTTCAAGGCCGAGATGTGGTCGAAGGTCGCAGAGGAAATGGCGATTCCATGGCGGGCAGCGGAAGCCATGCATTGGCAATTGGGAGAGCAGGAGATGGCTCGTCGTGCCGGAGTTGTTCCTTTCTCGCTGTCAAGCACTGCTATCGATCCACCTGCGCCCAGAGCACGCAGAGCCAGCACATCTTTGTCTCGGCCGAGGAAAGGATCGAGTTCGCGTTCGATACACCATCCCCCGCAGCTTCCATCCGTTGAGGAACTCACTGCTGGAGTACCCGCATTTGCGCCACCTCCGCCTTTTCTGCCACCCCGCGAAGCATATAGGATAAGCCGCCCTTTGGATCTGGGTGGTAGTCAAGGCGGCCCATTCGGCCCGAATCTCGGTCTTCCTCCTCGAACCCTTCCCTAGGCAGGCCGGGGGAACGGTGACGATAACAATGTCTATTGGATTTCCCCATTGCGTCGTTACGAATTGCATAGCGCTGGTTGGAGGTATTGGTCGTTTCAAGGGAGGTTTTATCATAGATGTTCATCTTCGATATGTGCATAGGTGGACTTCGGATTGCCAATGCATCGGAGTTGCATTGCAGTGCAGTTTTGATTTGGTAGGGGAAAAGAGCAATAAAGGATTGTTCATCATGGGGAATGACCCTCGCTGGCTTCATCGCATGCCATGGCATGAGAATGTGATACGGCATCATCTTCGGGGTTGGACCTCAAAATAGTCCACTGCACCCTCTGCGCACATCCTATGATGACTCGGGACCTGACCGCACTGCAATTGCCCACCAATTATCCTTTTCATACCCCGAATCCAGAACATAGCCACCTGCGTCATTGATGTCCTGCTCTAGTTCCGAGGCTTGGTAGAGGTGATAGTATCGGTGGAACACTTGGGGCTCGCTGCCAGCAGACGCAGTCCCTTTCATGACCCAGGGAACCATTCTGTCCTGTTGATCGCCTTTGTCCCAACCACGACGACTATCTTTCTGCTCTAGAGCCCAGACATAGATGAGTGCTTTCCCGCCCGGCACAGTGTCGGAGGCAGGCTTTAGGGTCCGCAATATCTCACGGATAGCACCCACCCTTCGTTCTGGGGTAGACAAGTGATGAATCACTGCGATCGAAATGGCGAAATCAAAGGAAGAATCGGGATGTGGAAGGCTGAGGATGTCGGCAACTACGGTCGAATGTGGCTGGTGAGATCGGGCAATGCGGGCAAGGTTCTCAGACCTGGTATACGGCGGATCAGTTTGAAACCCAGCAGGATATGGGTATTTATGATCATCTCTATTGAGATTTGGGATCATTCTTTGCGGGAGAGGCATGACTGATATGATCATGGAAAGGTGAGGGGTCAGAAAGAGGGGCAGCAGGAATTAGTCACAAGTATATGGAGATAAAACGTGATGACATACCGATCTGAAGCTACAATAAACACATCCTTATTTACACTCAGGTTCTTTCCATTGCCGCACCCCACGTCTAGACCAATTGACCCGGGCTTCAAGTCAGTGAGGAATTGTTTCACAATAGGCCAAGGCTGACATGGCCACGGTTAGTGACGAACATACAGTACATTGGGACGTAGGGATCAAAGAGGCCGAGGTAGTCAAGGGAAATAAGAAAATACCTTATAGCGGGTGGATGAAAAGTGATGTGCAATCTGTTGGTATACTTGATGCACATTCTCTTCTTCGTAGGCGTCTTCTTCTTCCTGGCTGGGGACAAAGGTAACGGAGGCCATCATGGTCTTCGAGATAAAGGCACACAATATGGTGATGGTGGTATGAGTAACACTTCTATAGGAAGACCACTCAACCAGTGTGGTGTAATATGTTAAGAAGAAGGAATGGAAAAAGGTAGCCGAGACGTTCGAGATGGCAAGCAGAACAAGAAATTTCCCGAGAAGACAGCTTCCAGGTCCTTCAGCATGTATCGTCATGATTGTCCAGTACCGTATAGTAAGTTATTCATTATTGCCTCATCTTAACTTACAGTAATGGAGCTGTTCTAACTAACTAGATTAGGCTAGCCATGCTAGTCACCTGATGATAGTGACTAATATTCACAAACTTGTGTAACTATTCAACTAAAATATGACTGCCAGTACAGTAAGTACCTGGTTAGAGACACAAGTTAGGAGTGAACTCCTTCCGGATCATGCAAACAGCATTGGCACAGTTAAGAAGCACCTAATAGAAGAATCCTGATCCTTGCTGTTAGTAGGAATTATCCCTATCACTGGAACCCAGCTCTGAGCCTTGAACTGGCAGATTACTTGAAGTGTTGATCAAGCATGTGAGTATCAAGCTAACCAGAAATGGCGTCACTTAATCTGCCCCCCCTCAACAAGCCCGCCGTCCACTTTAAAAATATCTACGAGTACACCGGTATATACTTACATGTCTATGTGCATGTCCTTGTATGACAGCATTAATTTCATACCCACTGGGAGTAATAGGGCCAGACAGGGTGCATTAGAATCTCATCTCTTTCCTTTCCTTTTCCCCCCTCCTCTCTCCGATCCCCGGGCACCAAAAAGGAATCAAAACCAACCTACCATAATATTCTTGTGGTTCCACATTTACTTTCTGTCATATCACTCGTTATCTAACTTACGGCGCAGACTTGATCTATCGTCTAGTCCACGGACTCTGAGTACTATCCCACGGGGAGAAGGACAACACGGCTATTGAAGATATTTTGCCAAGCTGCGCAAACTAGCGGTCATGGCTTTCCAACCCACCCCTGCGGATATTTCTGTTGTCATCACTACGCCTGGCACAGGCTCTAGCGCTGAGCCACGCTTCTTGACGGAGCGCCGAGTCACTCCAACATGGACTGTCATGCAGCTGAAGACGAAGCTCGAGACCATGACTGGCGTTCCGCCCGGCTGCCAGCGTCTTCGCCTTAGGTCACCTGGGCGCCCAGATCAGTGGGTCGAAGATGACAATAGTATCATCGGTGATTGGGGGTTGATGAGAGGCTGCGAAATAGAGGTAAGATATACTTTTTGCATCAAATTTGCAGGCTGATCTGGGCATTCATGAGTACGACAGCCGTCCGCTATCCTCATTGCAAAGATCTCACCTGCTTTCCCTCCATACCTCCTTTCCCCCTATCAATTGCACGCTGTTTGAGAATCAATGACTGGGACGCCTCTGAGGGCACTCCGAACCGGCCGTGTACACAGTCGTTATCTTTGAATTGTCCATTGATGAGTGAATTCGTTGCAAAGGTCCATGATTACCGCCCTCAGGCTTCGCGGCCTAATCTCACAGACCTGACGTCCGTCGAGAAGTATATATTGCCGACATCCACATACGAAGCGCTCTCGAATTCTGTTTTGGCGTGGAAAAAGAACCAGAAGCTTGGCCGCTTTGACCCCAATGCTGCAAGACCCGAAGAAGCGATGCGCAGCCAAGCTTTGAAAGACATTGGAGAGGTTGGACAAAGAGGTGAGCACAATGACGTCTTCCCTTGCCAACTTCGAGGTATAAAACGACAAATCACTGATCAAAGCGTTCGTGGTAGGCATTGTTGTTAACAATCGAGCCATTGTCCTTCCCTCCTCTCCGCCACATGTTCGACGCGGCACAATTCGCTATGTTGGGCCAGTTCCGACAATCCCCTTCCCTGGCGTGGACCTTGAATTAGTAGACTCCGCAGATTTTCCAGTCTGGGTAGGAATTGAGCTCGACGAGCCACTGGGCAAGAACGACGGGAGTGTTGGCGGAAAGAGATACTTTGTTTGCCCGAATAAGACGGGTGTCTTTGTCAAACCCGAGAAAGTGGAAGTAGGAGACTTCCCGCCCTTGGGTTTGGATGATCTGGATGCCGAAATGGAGGAGATCTAACAAACAGTAATTTGGCATGGCCACTACATGAAACTACAACCTTGCGCTAACCGATGCATAAGACTCCAATGAAGCTTGTAATCGCAGCTCAATTCTTCTGGACTCACACGCCCCAGCGCCAAAGAAATGGGAGATATGTGGTGACGAACTATATCCTTATCATCCCAGCGATTAAGTGACATACTTGCTAATTCAGAAGCCAACACTCCGGTGGAAAGGCGAGCAAAGCATAGTGCGGATAGGCGAGGAGTTGAACGGGGCAGTCCTCAACAGGTGAAGTAGAATGGTCATAGCACGCAGGTGACTCATTTCGCCTTGCGCCCGGGCCCGGTTTTCTGCTTGCCCCTGGGCCTACCTTTCCCGGTAGTTGTGGAGCGCCCTGTCGGTGTGCTCGAGTCAGCTTCCATGATACCGGCCTTTGTCGCAGAGCCAGGGGCAGAGTCGTCATTTTCAGGTAGACAGCCTTGCGTGAAAAATAACCGTGCATCCTTATTGTGCGTATTCGCAAAGCTGTAATAATTGCCTAAGAAATGTGTCAGTTTCCGATGGAAGTTGGACGTAGTCTAAACGCAACCAACCTCTGGGGACTTGAAATACACAGCCTTTGCCCGCACTGAACCGTACCCCTGAGACATCTACCTGCACCCGTCCATTGCAAATGTAGAAAACCATATGCATTTTCTTAGAGTTTTTGGGTTTTTTGACTCCGCCAGGCGGCAACTCAACGATCCCGGAACCCATGAAGGGAGAACTGATGAGTTTAGCGAATCGCCACGACGAGTCTTTGACACTTTTGGTCTCCATTCCAGATGGGGCATATGCGAGATCTACGTGTAAAGTCAGTCAATGTTGAACCTGACAAGACTGGGAAGAGTGCAGTGAACCCACCAACGATGTCCGACTCTGCTGCCGTCTGAGATTCCGAATCCCACATTCTGACATAACCATGCAGAATCCCACCTTTCTTTTCCCACGGGTCTAAATAAGCCGCATCCTCATCAGAGTCTTCATCTCTACTCTGCTTCGCTCGAGACTTTTTCGAAGGGCGGCGTTTGCCTGAGTGGGATTGTTCTGGCTCAAGCTCTTCTGTGCGAATGATCTCCTTAATGGTTGACAGTGGAAATCTTTGACCTTCTATAGCCTCGCCGTCACCGTAAACACATCGCTCGTTTCTCCAGTAAGCAAGTGGTCTTACTGAGACGCGACCCGATCGGGTGTGCGTAGCAGTGTCGTCTGACGGGGCTTCGCGCTTCAAGACATACAAGCTCCGACCCTTCAACGGCCCCGTGCGATTAATATAGTTCTCCACCACTTTATCCAGCTCAGCGTCGCCAGATGAACTCGATCTTCGGCTAGTTTGAGCATTCACTCTAGGTTTCTTTATCAGTCTCTGCTCAATCATATCATGAGCTGTGCTGTGCTGAGACTTAGGGGGCCTGCCAGGGCGCTTGCGTTTTTGTGTGGCATCTGCTTGTACTATATCAGAAAGATCACTGGCGTCCGGATTGTGCAATTTCTGTCTTGTGCCATCCACGTTTGCTATGAAGGAAGCCTTAGGTCGACCTTTCGTACGCGCTTTGGGAGCAAGAATGAATGGGGACTCGGGTCGTGCCTCATGCAAATTCAACTCATCTATAGGGTCCTGCGTCAGGACGTCCTCGTCGGCATGAATGCTTTCCACCGCATCATGCTCCTGTCCAAGCACATCCGCATTTTCGTCACCACTTGACTGAATGCTAGTATCACTATCAGAGTAACCTTGGCTTATGAGCTGTTGGGCGACCATCTCAGTCTTCTTGCTAATGCGCGCACTGTGCAGGTGTTTCATAGACGGTGTCGCGTTCACGGAACGATTGGTCAGAGGGGATATGTCACGCCATGATTCGCCCTTTGCGATTCCTAACCCCTTTCCATCAGAAGGACTGGAGGAGGGGTGATTGCGCTGTGGACTCTGCGACGACCGCAGACCGGGCGTTCGCCGTGGGGAGCCTGTGAGCCCAGTTTTCATAGGCGATCGTGCGACAGGGGGAGGTAGATAAGAGCCACGTCTGCTGTTTAAATAGTCTGCAGGGCCAGGGATAGTTCCTACGTAGATAAGTTTCTCACTGTCAGCATGCATGATGTAGATGTATCAAGAGTCTACAAACCCTCATCCATGGACATGCCATCTGAGCCGACTGAAGCTTCATTCCGGATGCCAAACCCATTGTCTCTCGTCGGGGAGCTTTCGGGGGAGGAGAATATGCCATCGACTTCTTCCATGCCGAATTCATCACGCCTTCCTTCCTTCAGGATTATACCTGTGCGCCTGTACCGCTCGCTCGCATTAGCCAGTGAAGCAGAAGGCAAGTCAAAGTGACAGCGGACGGAGTTGAGAAAGAGGCAATGGGAAGCAAGTTTATTTCCAAGGTGTAAATCTACCTTCCGGCTTTTCCAACGTTGGCGTAATCATAGTCGCGAGCTTTCGAGGGCCCCCGGAAAGCCATCACTGCGGAGCTTCGGAGCTGTATGCGGCTAGAATAAGAACTGTGGCAGGATGAAAAGAATCCGCGTCGGTTGCTTCGGATGTGTACTTCGTGGTTGAAATTTTCGCGGCACGGAACTCCTTGAGTACCTGAAATGGGGGAGCTCAGTTAGAAAGATACTGCACTCTAAAGCGCGACAAGTCGTCCAAGTCGGAATGGCACCAACTGCTACGGTGGGGAGTTTGGAATTCATGGAGGCGGCGGCGAAGGTGTGACACGCGCTAGTCCTGAACTGTTTGGGACGCGTCCCCATGTTGCCGATTGATAGATATTCGGGCTTCCTAGGTAGGATACCACATCAGCACTTTCAATTTCATTCTCATCACCCTTTCTTTCTTGCCTTGGCTAGTCAATTCTTTGACTTTACTGTGCTCTGAATGCTTGCCTATTTTTGTCCCAGTTAAGACCCGCGTCTCCTGTAATTGACTGACACCCCAGAACGCAGAAGATGGGGGAATCCACTCAAGATAATGTCTGCGACCTATCTCCAAAAGCTTCTCCAACTTCGGCTTTCACAGGCGACTTCATACCCCCCAGCATAGATCATACTAAGATGCTATCTGGCGACTCCTTTTCCTACTTTTCACCACGTCCACCCTTCCTCGCTTCATCCAACTCGACTACCGGTAATGAATCATCACAAGACGACTATCTCGTCCTCGGTGTGGACGAGGCGGGGCGCGGTCCTGTCCTAGGCCCGATGGTTTACAGTGCCTTTTTTTTGCCGCAGCAGCTTCACCATTCCCTTCTTTCTCGAGAATACAGATTCGATGATAGCAAGGTGCTTACGCCCGGGGTGCGCATGAACCTAATGAGACTGTTGTGCACCCCTGGCAATCCGCTTTTTGAGTGCTGCGGATGGGCTACGAAGCTGCTATCAGCACGCGACATCTCATCAGGCATGATGCGACCAGGCGCTGGGTCTTACAATCTCAATGCCCAGGCAATGGATGCTACGGTCGAGATCATCCGAGGCATCATTGAGGAGAGAGGCATGAATGTGGGGGAGGTCTACATTGATACAATCGGGAATCCCGTGACATATCAACAGAAATTGGAGAAACTTTTCCCTTCCTTGAAGATAACAGTGGCTAAGAAGGCTGATTCCTTGTATCCCTGTGTCAGCGCCGCAAGTGTTGTAGCCAAAGTGACAAGGGACATTGCGCTGGAGCTAAGCCACAAAGAGGTCTCAAGAAGATGTGCTACTGAAGAGCCTTCTCTAAAAACCACCATTCAAAGTTGGGGTAGCGGATATCCCTCAGACTCAAAATGTGTCGGCTGGCTTCGAAACAATATGGATCCTATCTTCGGGTGGGGAACCGAATGTCGTTTCAGCTGGGGAACTGCAAAGGAGATGTTGGAGTTGAAGGGAGGGTCGAAAGTCGATTGGCCGGCGGAGGAAGATTATTCACTGCTAAAGGACTTCCTCTTGACATCTGCCGGTGCCAACACCAGATTATACCATGAACTGCGAGAATGGTACGGGTCGAGGTCAACAGACATTCTGTGACATAGCATACAATGCCTCGGATCAGTCGAGGATTATGACGACAATGACAAATTCAATACCCGGTTCACATACATCATGATACCCCAAAAAGAGATAACATCCACAAACCGTTGACTGCAGACCTCAGATGTGGGGGAAACCAGGTGAGATCGTGTCAGTAAGGGCAAACGGATTACGACCAGTCAATCACAGGGCCGTCTTAAATGAATCTCAGCCATGACAATAAGTAGTACAAATTTGAATTGAGTTGCAAGTGCAACTGAAGGGACGAAAGATCACAACGTCGCACTTGAAAAATAGTAATTATCCCATAGGTATTCGTAGTCGTCAATGACGCTGCCTACCAAGTCAAGCAGGGGCTTGCCCTTCATCTTCCCAGTCAAATTGCGTAGCCAAGGTCTATAATCATTAGTGTTCTTCCGCCGCTGTAAGGGTAGGCCCGGAACACGCACCTGGTCAAGTTCGTATAGAAAGCCCCCCGCATGGCCCACCAACCCATCGCCCAGCCTCTTTTTCTGAGTTCCTCACGTTCAAGCCCAGTCAGTCCTCGAAGGCCGCCGGCAACTCTTTCTCGAAAGTCAGACTTAGCAAGCCGTCGGCATACATATTCCAGGCCAAATCCAACCAACCAAGGTCTCCAGCTATGCCTGTCTTCGCTGTATTTTTGCAACGCTAGCGCGTAGACCACTGGCCGAAGGATATATAGTACTTCAGCTAGTTGTCCTTGGCCAGTAACGCGATGCAATAGAGCCTTGGGGGCTTTGATGTCGTCGGCGGTGAGGACCTTGGATATCAGGAAATGGGAGACATCATTTACTTCTGGCAGCGACGGGAGAGATAAGCCCGTCCGAGGCATTGTCCAGCTCAAATTTGATGATCGTTCGCTAACGGGCGTCTGCATCCCATTCCAATCGCTGTCCACTTTTTCTAGCGATCTGGGATCAATGTCTCTCTCAGGCAGCGGGGGGGTAACCAATGGCCTGGACTTTGTAAGACGAAGAAGTAATAGACGACAGACCGCCTTTATGGCTTCAATGAAGATGACGACGCGCCAACGGATCTTCTCCCCACGTCGACGGGCAATCATCTCCCAGAGCAGTTCTGTGTACTGGACCATCTGTAGTGCAAGTGCAACTTTATGATAGAGCGAAGAGCGAGACGTCCAATATTTAGTATATCGCGTGTGAGGAGTCGGTATCGGCCGCGGGATAGTCGGCGGTAATCTGGAAACAACTCGAGAAACAAGAGCATTGTGATAAAGGGACAGTAGCTGGACTCCCGAATGTACTGGGCAATTCACACAAAGTTAGGCAATTAGACAGAATTTGCAGTCTGGCACTACTAAGCTGGGGCAACATACCACACTCCGAACTTATTTCCGAGTCTCGGTATCGCCCTGGAAGACATTAGCTTTTCTCCTCCCCGGAGACTGTAGTTGAACAGGCCAGTGGTCCTGACCTGGAATGATATATGTTAGGGATCTCAGCGCCGACTCTACCTGGCTTACGGAGCTAGCGTTCTTGGTTACAAATTCTTCGTACAACAGCAACCATCTTGATGGTCGTAGCAGGGCAGCAGAAGCGGCACTCTCAGTATTGCATGTAGCGTCCATCTCCACGAAAGGGAGAAGAATAGTACGGATGGTGTCGCAAAATGTTCAGAGCGGCGAGCGGAAGCAGTCCGTTTTTAGGTGCAGTCAGGCTCAGCTGGAGAGCTATGCCCACAGGACGATCAGGTTCATCCGCGGATGGCAGTGGGCAATCCCCGGGAGATGAGGCACGTGTGCCGCGTCTGCCAAGGGATCATACACTTATCACCGCCCTGCCTGCCGAGGTTCAGCTGAATCCCGGGATTCTTGGCACGGTGTCGCATTATGGCCTTTGAACAGTATCTGGCAGAAAAGCTACCGAGTAACTTAACACCGATGACCAAGATACTAGATTTGATATGTACGTATATGGACTGAGTATGGAGGCTCCACAATGATCATGTACCACACCTGCTCACTCATCCGCAAATTTCCAGACACCTCCCGGCCGCGTTGCTTCTCTATACCTGTCCTTCACCAGGTCTTTCTCGAGCCTCTTGGCTTCCTGGTGGTCGCGTTCCAATTCTTGCGTGCTAGGCATATCAGTACGCCAAAACCCGGGCGGGGACCCGGCACGTTGATACTGTTGCTTGTGTTTCCCAAATTCATTGGCTATCAGCCTCGCCTTTACTTCTTGTAAGAGATGATTCCGATCCTCTTCACTGATCAGGTGTTCTTTGTCGCCAAGAAACTCTTCAAGGATTCTCTGGTCATTCATTTCGCGCTGCTGACTGGAGCACATTGCATCTGCTGGAAGGCCATTCATTCGTGCCAAACCTAGAAATTTCTTCCCACAGCAATCGTAACGGGGGCATCCCTTGGCGCAATTCACTTCAGTCTTCTTGTGAGCCACGCTGTGAAAAGCATAGTCATAACCTTGATTAAAGTCCGGGTTGATTTTGAAGTCTTTGAGGTCAAGATGTTGAACCGGCCGTGCTCTTAGAGAACCTCCTGCGGGGTGAACTGCAGTGTCCCTTGCAGGCAACAGGGAATTATTAACGGATGCGGTTCTCGAAGCTCCATTGTTTGGGGCTATTTGCGGCATTTCTGTTATTTCAAACCCATCAGGATTGGAAGTTACTGTGGGTATTTCTTCCATCATTGCGAAAGGACGCTTGGGAGCCCTTTCTGAAACGCCCGAGTCCCTTAGCAGTGTTTGCAATTCCAATTTAGCAGGTGAATGCCCCTCGAGCAGACCCTGCAGACGCTGATTAGTGGTAGTTTCGCTGGCTAGTGTGAGACCTGAAGCTCCTGCCCCAGATGTTCTGTGCAACTTCCTTGAAGGTAGATTTGAGAAGCTCTCATCGCCATCTTCTAGGATTGAAGATACGTGGGCACTTGCGGGTCGCGTTTGAGCTTCTTCTTGAGGTTGTTCTGGCAATCGAGCACGTCTTCCACCTCCAGGGTTGGCATTGCTAAATTCTAGCACAACAGGTCGTTTTGGAGAGGAGAAAAATAGTGGCGGAGGTGGATCGGCGTCTTGACTATCTTCACTGATTGCTGGGGTACTTGTTCTCGAGGCATCGCCTTGTACTTCACTATTTCGAACTTTCCTCCTCTTTCTGGGGGTTTCGACAGTACTACCAACTTCGTCTAGATCTTGGGTGCCAACAATTCTTAACGCGGATGATAGTTTGGGCAACGGTTCTTGAGACAGATCTTCATCTTTAACCAAGGTAGAATTCAGTGCCGCTCTTCTTACACCTGTGATCAAGGTTGAACACTGGTTCATAAAGTTTTCCGGGGCATTTTGCGATGTTATGGACTCGGACTCTGGTGCTTTCATCCCCGACGTAGAAACCTGGGCAGTTGGAATAACGTTCTCAATTTCGGACCGGCCCGACTGTGTTAGTGTTGGCTGCGCTGGTGACATTCGAATCGAACCGTCGCATCTGCTCCAGTTTCTGTTCTTTGCGCCCCAATGACCTGCATCACTATTATCATGATGGTTCCTTCCCAAAACCTCTGGTGGAGAGGTCGCGGTTTCATCCACAATGCCATGGCCATTTAAGCCCGACACGGGAACAGAAGTGGATGGGTTTGCGGCCGGCGGCTTGCTCTGGGTATCAATAGAGATCTTTCCAGTGCATCTGAACTCCATTGCTGTGCCTTCGAGCACCAAAGTGAATTTATCAAGCTCGAGACACTTTTGCCAGAACTTTAACTTTCCCTTGTATCGTTTGACTTGTTTTCTGAGCTCGCACGAGGCCATAACAAGCTCCTGAGTCTCCCCATATAGAGCCGTATATGCTTCAGCAACGGCTTTGATCGCGTACGGGTTGATATCTGCGATGTCACCACCGGAGGCATGGCTGAGGTGATGTAAGACCTGGTTTGGGGCATATCGTACTTCAAAGTCCCGAAACTTCTTCGTAGAAACCTTGTCGTCTTCGGACTCAAAGTCGGTAAGGCGTAGCTCTTCCCGTAGGAGAGCGATGGCACCTTTCAGCGAGTCCAACTCTTCCATAGCCTTATTCCGTTCTTTCTCCGCATTCGTGGCCCTCTGTTCAGCCGATTGTGTATTCGCATCGTGGTAGGAAATCTCGGCTTTCACATTTCTGATAGCCTCATCGAAGCTGTTCTCTAGTGCTCGAGTGAGAGAAGATCGAAGCGTCCTAATAGCCTCCATCACGAGGACATGATCAATCTGCGAATGAAGGGTCACATAAATGGTAAAATTCTCTGATTTATGTACTATGGATAACAATATGACTGGAATAAGCAAATCAGTTAGTCAACGTGTTTGATTTAAAGGGACATAGGGGTTGGATTTACAGTGCCAAATATCTGCCAAGCAATTTAAGATATGCCTCCGTGATGTTTTATGATCTCTCTGGGTCGCATAAGCTCGACCTTAGTAAGCGCTGATCTCATGTAACTAAGTTACTAATTAATCTGTTCAACCAGCTGCCTGCGTAACTTACGAGTAGTTAATTAACTAGCTACCCTAACCATGTCCATTTGAAAGGCGTACAGCATGGCGCTTTGGCAATCATGAACTAATTTGTCGATTCCTGCGTTGTTGTATCTCATCTTTCGCCCCGAGTAACTAGTGCTTGCTTCGTGGCTATTACTGGGTAAATGTCTAAACGACATTACGAAGATGGAAACCCAGCACCCCTTCCCTCGAAACGTGCGCGCCAACCCAATATAATCTCTTCTCTCTCCGATGAAATACTACTCCACATATTATCATTCTTACCAGTCCCGTCTTTGATAGTCTGTCAACGGTACGTCCTAGTCTTGCTCAACCCGTCTCTGTAAAAACTTGAGCTGACGAAAATCTATGAGGAAGGTTGTCATGCCGGTTCAAGGCGCTTGCAGAAGATTCAGAAATCTGGAAGCGACATTATTATCACCGATGGATTCGACCTCGATTAGCAAACGTGAGGCGTACCGTATTCTCCCATACAGAGGTCCGATATTCTCCTAAGGTGTCAACATGGCTGGATCATGGTCACTTTGCAGATGAAGGAAGGTCTATGGATTGGAAGGGCCAATACCGTCTTAGGCACAATTGGTCTAAAGGAATCTGTCGTGTCACCGAACTCGAGTCCTCTCACCCATATGGTCGATCAGCATTGGTCGCTTTTTGTGCTGGTATTATTTTCACTGTCGACCGGGACAACTGGCTTCGAGCTAAGTCTACCAAGATTCCCGCGTACTACCTCGCAGAGATTTCTTTGGCAAAACTTCGAACGCCTCTAGCTGCCTTGCCCACAGCAATGACGGCAATGGTTGGTTCTCGCCCGAATACAATCGAGGTTGTTGTTGGATTCGAAGACGGTCACTTCGGGATATATAACCTGGACATTGCTGCATCAGCACTGGAATTCCGCACCACTTGCGCTGGATCGACGAGCGGCAGCATCACTACAATAGCCTCGCTTTACCCCTACATCCTCTTGGCATCCGACCATAAAGCTCTGTCACTTTTCAAGATCACGACCGAATCCGATGCGCGTAGCCGTTTGCTACCCAAGGAACCGGCTTTATTATCATGTCTCGAGGCAGACAGCATCTTAGAGCCGCTGTCGATCTCGATCCGTTCGGTAGGCTCTGATATCATATCTTCTATAGTGTACAGCTTTTACCATGTCGGCTGCGGTTGGTCTTTGGGAATTCAAGAATTACATTTCAGCCTGAGTGATTTACAGCAGAAGTGCTCGCGGCTCACAACAACCGTGGATTCTCAGTATGGAGTTTGTCCGCCACTTGGTCAGATTTACTCGAGGATCGACACGCCGTGCGCGTGGGGTGCAACAAATACCAAGGGCGGATTGTGCATGAGGCCGGCTGAACCCGCTATACATCATCAGGAAACCCCAACTTCCGTCTCTTATTCACACCCTTACTTGATAACGTCACACACGGACAATACTTTAACCGTGTACCTTGTTGTCTCCACGTCCGCGGGCTTGTATGTCAAAGGTGCACAGCGGCTCTGGGGTCATACATCCTCAGTGTCGGCCGTGCAAGTGAGTGATCGTGGCAGGGCGGTATCGGTAAGCTCCCGGGGAGATGAGGTAAGAGTGTGGGAACTCGAAGCCCTGGTCTCAGCTTTCGGGAGGCAACGAGCGCGGAGACATGGAAAAAGCATTCGAGTTAGTCCTGGAAATAGGCAGAGTGATGTCAGTGAACTCAGGTCGAGTTCTCCGACAAAAGCCAATGCTCTGCTGCAAACCACAGGATTTCCGTACCACATGCCTGAAATAAGTGGTTGTATTGGGTTTGATGATCAATGTGTCCTCCTACTGCGTGGGGATGGACTTGACGTGCACATGCTGGAATGTTATGACTTCACGTGAGTGGGCCAAGATCGAGAATTCTACGTATAGAGAGTTTTCCAGCCAGTGGGATTCCAGTCAAGGAGACTTGTGCTTCAATGCTCAGATCCACGGCAGGCTTCATTTATAGTAGGTGAAATTGTCAAGTGACATTTACTTATGTGGTCTTCATTTATAATGAGGTGGGGTTCAAGGGGACCTTGGGAGGTATGCCTTTTTGTAGTTTTGATATATAACATAGCAGATGGCCCTGCGTCCGGCTCACCTTCCGGCTCACCCTCCTGTCTTAGTCTTTGGTTTCCCTGGATGAAGCGAGGCTACGATTGACTGACAAGCTCAGGCGCCTCTTGGTAACAACACGCTTTCCTTATGAGTAGGCAGAGATTCCTCAGTGCTGCCAACTGACCCCCAGCCTCATCAGGATGGCCTCGCTAGAGAAGCCTGATGAGTCAAAGTGGTCAATCCATAGACAGGCATCGTGTGGCGCTGAGAATATGGTGGAGAGAGATATGAGTGGGGGATTGTTTTGATCTACTTGAGTGAGGCCCTCCCCCTTATTGACACACTAATTATGAATCCTCTTTCTTCTACTATTACCACCACATGCCCTTCTGTATTTGTTCAGCTAGTACTGAATTACACCGCAATTGTAAGTGAAATCCAAGCAGAGAGAAAAAGAGGTTATTTGTCAAGTGCCCTCGTTCCTTGGCGTTGTGTGCGGCACTGCGGCGGTTCTTAGTGTTAAAGCCCTGCAGGTTCCCCCGCACCGATTTAGCATATCTCTGTTTTATGGTCTGCATTAATTAGGGTGACTCCTCTCTTCCTGCTCATTATTGCCACTAAATTTCTGATCGCCGAGACTTTCCCCTCAACCTCCATCCATCCTCACAAAAAAAAATTCCCAAAATCACCGCCCTTCTTCCCCTCTTTCGTTACCTCAGCCCCTCTTAAACCAGCTTTTTTCCTCCACAAGACAATATGAGTTTCCAAGCTGGAGGTCGTGGATGCTTCAACTGTGAGTCTACACAATTCTTGAAACAAACAAAACATTATTCGAGGGCGCGATTCTGGCTAGCAGTTCTCTTGGCCTCTACAGAGTCCTAGAGTCCTGAAGCTGAAGCCAGAAAATACCTTGTTCCCTGGCTGTCAAGTCATATTTGCATCCAGAATCTGAAGTTTTCCCCGGTCGCACCAGTCTCTTCTCTTGTTTCTAGTCCCATTGGAACCGAGTACATATTGCAATCTCTCTTTCCCGGGACGCTTGAGGCGCGGATCTGGCCTCAGCAACTTGCACAAAGCTCCTCCAGAGAGTGAACAAATCATTTTATCATGCACACCTGGGTATTATAGACACTAACCTTTTTTTTTTCTTTTTGCAATTTAGGCGGCGATGCCTCGCATCAGGTAAACATCGCCTACTCCTAGAACAAGTTGGCGGAGAGCATCATAGCTCGTCCCTGTCGGCCTGTGCCGTGGCATTGTCGTTGAAGGAGTCTGACTATTCTTAGGCCCGCGATTGCCCCAAGAAGGGTACCCCTACTTGGTGAGGATTATCGCGTTCCTGGCTGAAACAAAATCACTTACTAATACTTTGCAGCTACAACTGTGGTGGTCAGTTTTCCCACAGACCTTTTCGCATTCACTTCCCCTTCTCGTTATCTTGACTATTGGCTACTGGCCTCTGGAAGCTGTCAAGCTGTTGAGCGGTTAAGTTTGATCTGACTTGTTGATTTCCCGATCTCAGGTCAGGGACACGTCAGTAAGTTGTTCACTGATGCAGTATACTTCGATCCTGGCGGACCCGGCTGACATATCGCAGGTCGTGAATGTACGGTAGCCCCGAAGGAGAAATCATGCTATCGTTGTGGAGCCACTGGTCACATTTCCCGCGAATGTCCTCAGGCTGGCTCGGGCGAGAGCTACGGCGCTGCTGGTGGTAGTCAGGAGTGCTACAAGTGTGGTCGGGTCGGCCATATCGCGAGAAACTGTCCCCAGGGTGGCAGCTATGGCGGTGGCTTCGGCGGCCGTCAGCAGACTTGCTACTCTTGCGGTGGCTTCGGCCACATGGCTCGCGACTGCACTAACGGCCAGAAGTGCTACAACTGTGAGTATGATCCCGCTCAGTCGACCTCAGCTTCGAAACTGACGATCACATAGGCGGTGAAGTTGGTCACGTTTCCCGCGATTGCCCCACCGAAGCCAAGGGTGAACGCGTGTGTTACAACTGCAAGCAACCTGGACACGTTCAGGCTGCCTGCCCTAACTAGTTTGAATGCACTCTGGACTGTTTGTCTTCTGTCACGATGTCTCGCATGGGACCAGACACGGGAATATGCACCTCGATCGCACTCTCATTGACGATCTGCAATTCATTTCTCCCGCTTTATCCTGAAGCCAATCTCTGACATGGCATACGAGCCAGGCTTTGAATACCTCTATCAACCATATCTGGTCTGTTCGATATCCGAAAGATATCTATTCCGCCATGGAGTTGTATGAACGATCTGCTGTCTTGCTTGAAGGCAGTAAGGTCAGGTTGAGGACTGATAGGTGCATTGTGTTGCGGGTGGACAAATAGATGAAATCACTTGTGTGCTGCAGAAGACTTTTGTCCACGATAATGGAATTATCTTAACAGCAATCTACATCGATTCCACAGAATTTCCTCTATATTGGACATCCTTGCTGACATATTCGAACTTCCTACTTCCTTATATTCACCGCATGGCAATTCGAGGTGTACCCTTCCTTCATGTGTCCTTGTCTAATTGTTTCCATCATTGCGTAGTTTTACTCTTGCTATCTAGAAGGCGGTGCAGACTCTCGCTTTGAGGTAGCATCTTAGACTCGAAGGGAACTGAACGAGCAGGGCACCTACAACATATCTAAACAAGGTTACCATTGTATAAATAGAATATTGATTATTCACAAGAGACAAAAAATCTCATGAACTACAGCTGCACATCATCGCCCTTTTGAATTTCGGAACATCACCGCAGAACCGCCGTTCCTCCTCTCTATCTAGACCCCAATCTTCGGCAAAAGGCTTCAGCGCCATTTGCATCACTTGTCCAAGTATATCTCGGTCCCCCTTGTGCTCCACGCGGTCAATGACCTCGTCAAGTATCCAGCCACGTGGTAGGAACTATGTGATACTCAAGTCAGCGGACAACCACAATATTCCAAATATCTCGATTCTCACTCCCGAGAGAAACATACGCTTGGATTTACCGATTTCATTGACGTTTGCCTCACAACATCATTGTCCGTGTCCCAGTCTTCCAAGACGCGAGTTCTCCATATCTCAAGCCAGTGTGCAATGCGTTCTTTAGCTGCTGCTTCTGTTAAGCTGACACTGTCAAATCCCTCATTATGGAAGAATATCGACGCCATTTCCGTTCTTTGAACTGATGTCTCGATATCTGAAAGTGGAATGTTCGAAAGTCTCCTGAAAAAATGGTTAAAATCCAACTCCAATGCTTCCATCATGTCAAGCATTTCAGAAAACAAATCCTGGAAATCTGTCTCTTTCTCCGTTTGAAGGCCCAACCTCCCTCTCATAAGTTGCTTGTATTCACTCAGGAATACAGCCCTGAATTCCTTGCCTGTTTGTTCAATGAGTTTTTCGGCACGTTCGACTACGGCCGGTGCAGAGGTCTCAGTCAGTCCTTCTTTCACAAACTCTTCATGATCCACTCGGTCACCTGCCCCCATAAGTTCCCCGAGGGATTCACCAAGTCTGACCAGATTCCACCAGATGATACTAGGCTGATTCTTATAAGAATATCTCAGTAGGTGATCATCGTGATTGGGCGTGTAGTGGGGATCAAAGTTATCCATAAATGCAAAAGGGCCAAAGTCCATCGACAAGCCGCAAATCGAGGTGTTGTCCGTATTTAGAACACCGTTCATGAAGCCATAGGCTTGCCAGGCAGCAACGGTCTTAGCGTTGCGGCGTGCAATCTCTCGATAAAGCCTCGTGAACCTGTTTTCTTGCAAACCTTGATGTTCCTCTACTTCGTTTTTTGAAGTATTCCCGGATGTGCTATCCATGGCCGGCGAGGATTGACCATTATTTGAGTACGCAACAGAAGGGAGAGTCTCCCATCCATGGAAAACTTCTTCGGCGACATATGTCGCCAGCTTTCGAATCAGGTCACGGTCTCCACGTGCACGCAATAGATCAAAAGTGCCAATACGGAGCCAAGATTCTGCAAATCGAGTTACAACAGCTCCCGGTTCAATGCGCTCCCGCAACACTTTCGATCGCGGCAATAAAGTAATGGCTAAGGCCCGGGTCGTTGGAATACCGAGCGCCGAAAGAGCTTAAGGAGGAATTAGTTTCCGCCAGTATAGCATTTCTTTGGGGAACCACCTTCAGAGACAATGTATTCTCGGATGCTCGACCGAAGCACAGCTTTGCCATCAGCGAAGCGTGAGTAGGGCGTCCGTCCAGCTCCTTTCAACTGCAGCTCATAACGAATGTTCGTGTATGGATTAGAGCTCTCAAAGAGGCTTATAGCGCGCTGCTCAATGTCAATTCAATACATATATTAGGTTCAATTGCGGCCAGGTGCCACGCACCCCGTCCCCTAGTTGACCAGCCCATGAGCCACTACCATTTGTCAGTAGGATGCATAGGGCTACCAATCCACGAATCCTGTAACGTACAATTGCCACCCTTCAAAATGTCATTCAGTTGCCTTCCATGATTGCTATATGTGAAAACGGTGTGAGTGTGGCATGACTTACCTCCATAGCATTGTGCCCAAGGATATATTCCACCCTTAGATTGGTCCCATGGAAATTCATTTCCGGAAACCAGGGCATGGAATTCTTGTGTTGTTGCTTCACTAGCTGCGAGTCCAAGATCGTCCAAGGCTTTCGGGCTTACCCCCAGAATCTCATACTCCTCTGCTGGCTCGGGCCTCACAAACGTGTAAAGCGCACCTCTTACTAAGCGCGGTCCCAGAGCCTCACGAGGAGCTCGATGCGATATTTCCGGTGTTTCAAACGCAGGG